GGACGTGTGTTTTTAATAATTTGTTTCTATGTATTAACACCATTGTATAGGGATAGGACTACTAAGGAATGGAATGGCAAGTGTGTAGAGGGGGGTAAAGTAAAAGTGTGTGTGTCGGGGAGGGGGGTAAGCTGTTAAAAGGAGAACTATGGGGTCAGGGCTTTTCCCCATAGTTCTCCTTAGGGTAACCAGAGGACACAAACTAGCGTCCTCCCGTCACCCTAAGCTCAGTATATAGAGAGCTACAGCTCGCGGTATACTGAGACGCCGGAGCGGATCCCGACATCGATATCCGCCCAGCTGCGTGAGTGACAGCTGGCTCTGCCTATCTGGAGGCAGAGCCAGCTGTACCCGCCCCCTCCCCCAGTCAGCGCTGGCCGATCGGAGCGGGGAGGGGGGAATCCAGCCCCTGCCCTGTCACAGCAGAGAGCCGTGACAGGATCGAGAGGTGAGAGAACGCCGGTATGTGTTCGCTCACCTCCAGATCTACTGAGCCGACCTGTGACAGTATCATTGTCACAGGTCGGCTAGAACTATGAGGTGAGTGAAAAGCCCCCCCCCTCATAGTTCTCCTTTAAGTTTGATCTGCATAGACCCTCTGTATGGCTAACTGGACTTATCATCAACAGTTGGTAATAAGGAAATGCCATTCACGTGACATTAAAGCGACCACTAGAGGGAGAATTTATCAATCCGCTTATCAAATACGGAACAGCAAACAAGTAACATTAAAAATGTCTTACAGGAAGTTATTGCTATAATACCTTTAAAAATCGCCTGAATAATCCACTGCTGCAAGGCGGAGCTCACTCAGTCGCTCCATCCGCTCAGCTCTGAGCAAACAATGTATCCAAATGTATCACAATGTCACAGGTCAGTTCACATGATCACTTTATATATATATATATTCATGATTTCATTCTGCATTCTTCCTGGAGTTCTCCTGTCAGTTGTCTCTGGAAACACCCGCAATCTCCTCTTTTGGCTGTTGGCAGCAGCCAAATCACAAAAAACTGATAGTAATAAAGGGAAATGTAAGTAATCTGGACGTGTGTTTTTAATAATTTGTTTCTATGTATTAACACCATTGTATAGGGATAGGACTACTAAGGAATGGAATGGCAAGTGTGTAGAGGGGGGTAAAGTAAAAGTGTGTGTGTCGGGGAGGGGGGTAAGCTGTTAAAAGGAGAACTATGGGGTCAGGGCTTTTCCCCATAGTTCTCCTTAGGGTAACCAGAGGACACAAACTAGCGTCCTCCCGTCACCCTAAGCTCAGTATATAGAGAGCTACAGCTCGCGGTATACTGAGACGCCGGAGCGGATCCCGACATCGATATCCGCCCAGCTGCGTGAGTGACAGCTGGCTCTGCCTATCTGGAGGCAGAGCCAGCTGTACCCGCCCCCTCCCCCAGTCAGCGCTGGCCGATCGGAGCGGGGAGGGGGGAATCCAGCCCCTGCCCTGTCACAGCAGAGAGCCGTGACAGGATCGAGAGGTGAGAGAACGCCGGTATGTGTTCGCTCACCTCCAGATCTACTGAGCCGACCTGTGACAGTATCATTGTCACAGGTCGGCTAGAACTATGAGGTGAGTGAAAAGCCCCCCCCCTCATAGTTCTCCTTTAAGTTTGATCTGCATAGACCCTCTGTATGGCTAACTGGACTTATCATCAACAGTTGGTAATAAGGAAATGCCATTCACGTGACATTAAAGCGACCACTAGAGGGAGAATTTATCAATCCGCTTATCAAATACGGAACAGCAAACAAGTAACATTAAAAATGTCTTACAGGAAGTTATTGCTATAATACCTTTAAAAATGTGCTGAATAACAAAAAAAAATGATAGTTTCCCTTTAATACAATGCAGTTTTTAAAGATTGGAAGCTGCAGAACCGGCGAGGAGATCCGTTTACAAAGAGCATCTCAGCAGCAGCAGCGGCGAGCATTTTCAGGTTTCAGGCTGGGCTCACACCTAGGCGAGGCGAGCTGTTTTCGGGCTGTTGTCACGCTGTTTTCAATGCATAGAGATGTCTATGGGACACAAAACACGTGACAACGGCCCTGAAAAATACACTTTTCTGCGCGACAAACCGCAAAGGGTGTGAACAGCCTCCATTGACTTCAATGGAAATCTGTGTTTTGCGTGATATCGCGCAACTCATCGCCTTAGTTGTGAACTTCATTCTCACGTGAGACTGCAACCAATTGCTTTCCATAAAACCAGCATTCAAAATAACCGCATGGAGCACTCAGGAGAAAAAACAAAAACAGTGGTTCTGAAAGTCCAAAAATTAAAAACAAACTAGGAACTGGGAGGAATAAAATCAACCCAAATAAAGTCGCGATACGCTATACTAAAACAACCAAAAGAATCTAGTCCAAAATATAGCACTCTGCTGTCAAATCAGCAAAGCCACAAGATTCCTTTTCCTGCGCGGCCAGGCCAACGTCTCCAAAGCTGCCAAGGATCCATCTATTTACTACAGTTCAGATCTGTTCCCATTTTGGCCTGCTCCCGTTTGGCGATGGTTTCCCAACTCCTCTGCGGGTATCTGAAGTCATGAAGTGACGCTTTTAGAAATAATGCTGCAGATTGTTCCAACTACGAACGCTCAATGGATGAAGACCTTATGGCTATCTATGGCTTTGAACTGCAATTTCTGGTCTTCATGGTGGACAATGTTCTGAGATGTCCTCACTTAATCTTCTTTCTAGGGCAGCATTGCTGAAAGGCTGAGGACTTCCATATTAAATAAAAGCCCAAAAAGTAATTGAATTTTGTATTGAATGGAGCCATGTGAATTATTATTAGTCTGATAGTCTACTTGCCAGGAGCATGCTATTTCAGTTTCTAATTCCATTCGTTCCTACTAGTTCCTGCTTTTTTGGGGCAAGATAAAAGGACAATGGTGTCCATTTTGGACATCCCAAATATACCTCTGTTCCCATTCTCAAGAGAAGAATTTATTTTACCAGTGTCTATCATACACCGAGTGGGCGGATTATTATATACACCGAGTGGCCGGATTATTATATACACCGAGTGGCCGGATTATTATATACACTGAGTGGCCGGATTATTATATACACTGAGTGGCCGGATTATTATGACCACCTGACGTTTGTAGGCAAATTAGCTATAATTTGGCGCTGAAGTTGCTAGAGGGCCAGACCATTATAAATAGGGAAGCGGGTTGGTTACCACGACAGTAGAAGTGATTTGTTTCTGAAGATACGGGGAAACAACGCGATTTAACAGCCTTTGAACGCGGGATGATTGTTGGCGCTCGGAGCCATGGAGCGAGTATCAGCAAAACAGCAGAATTCGTTAAATGTTCAAGAGCAGCTCATTGTTAAAGTGTTTAAAGACCGGACTGTCAGCCAAAAATCTGGGTCTGAACGTGCGAATTGTGGCCGTCAGCGACTAGTCAATTTTAGGGCAGAACGGGGGAGGGGCAAACTGGTACAAGACAACAGAAGGGCAACAGCGCCGTGTCAGATTCCTCGCATCACCTTTCACCATCTCGCGGAGTCACGAGGCGGCCCAACCAAGTACTGATGTGGTGGTTATAATAATCCGGCCACTCGGTGTATATAATAATCCGGCCACTCGGTGTATATAATAATCCGGCCACTCGGTGTATATAATAATCCGGCCACTCAGTGTATATGACTCTATAAGAATGATGGATAACGGGTATATAGGAGGGGTGATGATCATTATTTATCAGATATCACAACTTTTAGGACTGACACTTTCCTAAAAACAGTTGAGTCTTAGACTTAAGAAGTAGGGCCTACTTCTTAAGTCTAACACCCCATTCACACCTAGGCGTATTGTAATATCCGCGTCTGTCGCGCGACCGTCACGCGTTTTTTTACCGCGATTCGCGGTAATTCGTCGCGCGATTCCAAAAGCTACTTGGCAGTATCCAAATGGAAAACGCCCTACAAAACGGCCCAAAGTAGTCCCGGGACCTTTTCAGGCGTGGGCCGTTTTGTAGGGCGTTAGGGACGGGCGGAAATACGGCGAGGTGGGAACGAGACCATTGACTACAATGCAATTTATATTTTTGACCGTTTTGTAGAGCGTTCGTCGAGCGTAGAACGCCCTACAAAACGGTCAGGTGTGAACGCAGCCTAAGACTCAACTGTTTTTAGGAAAGTGTCAGTCCTAAAAGTTGTGATTTCCGATAAATAATGCAAATTAGAAATTGTAACTGCCTTCAAGCTGATGAATGATGCAGAACTTAAGTTGTTCGATGAGGGTGAGGACTGGAGAATGTTATGATATGCTTTACCAAAACCTCCACCCCGCTCCTATTTAGACCTTCAGCTGCATAGTTTGGGTACCAGAATGCTTCCAACCTATGTACGCTACAAGGCATCCTGCTGCTTGTTGTGGAAGTACCCACAGACATGTCTGAGACAAAGTATCATAGAGAAGGTGGAGGTGTTGAGCTAAAAGGTCTTTGGATTGGGGGCATGGGGGTACGTGTAAAGCATATCATAATGCTTACCTCACCTTGTTCCAGGCATCCTGAGATCCCGGAGTTCTTCAGAAGTAAATTCCTCTCTTATTCTGTATAAATGTTTGGAATTGTAGTTCAATCAAGGCTTGAGTGGACGAGGTTTTCCTCTATCCCTCTAATGAACAGCGGGTATTTTGCAGTGTTATTCAAACTCTCCATCTCAAGGGTTCAATTAAGAAAGTTAATGATGAGATGGCACTTTGAAAAATAGCAGACGTGGCCCGCGGCATGGACTTAGCGGAGGGATTAAATTGATGTTCAATAATAATCTAATTGACAAGCATCTTCAAGCTGAAACGTGAGGAGCCTTGATTTCTTCAGCCCAGCACAGGGAACGTAAATGGAGAGCATTTGGCAGCCATTCTTCATAGTTTGGCCAGGCAGCGCACTCATTTTATACAAATTAGAAAAAAAAGAAAAGAAGTGGAAAGACAAAAGGAACAACCTGGAGAAAAACACAGGTGGAATTAAAGAAAGGAGAGGGAGGGAGTGTTGTAGGTTTTTCCAACAGTCTTTGTGCTCATTGAGATGTTCATATTGCATGAGTTACCACATGTAGTAACTTCGAGTAGTGTCCACCTGGGAGGTTTTGCCCTCCGCTGTCCCTTCTTTGTCCTTCTCGCTGTCTCCTTCCCATAGGCTGATGAGAGGAGGATACAGCTCATTTAGCGGAATCGATGATGTTTTTTGCATATACTTCTTCAGGGAATGGCGATAGTTTTTCCTCTGGAATCTTTTGGCTGCATATATGGAAACAGAAGCAAAACTGATCAGGGCGAAGATGGAACCCATAACAGCAGCCAGAGCCGCGCTGGTCTCCTGGTCTGTGACCGCCAATGAATAGGATGCGCCCTTGGTGGTAACATTGATGCAAGCCCTCTGAGCCTGTTGATGTAGGCCAGACACTGTCAGACACACCTCGTACTCCGTGGCAGGCTGCAGATGCGTCAGGTTGTACTCATGAACATCAGCAGGGACCCGGGCAGTGTAGGTAATGTGTGGGTTATCGATCTTCATGGTGGCGGAAGACCATTTGAGATTAGAAGCCAAAACACTGGAGGTAACCCTCCAGGACACCAGAACAGAGTTGGCCTCCGTCTGCTGGACATACAGTCTAAGAGCCTGTGCTCCATCTAGAAGCGTTCCATTGATACGCAACGTGGCAACCCTCGTGTCTGCTCCTTCAGAATTTTGTGCCACGCATGTGTAACGACCAGAATCCTCCACTTGCACGCTTGTGATCTGAAGTGTGCCTTCACCACTCAGATGTAATTTATCAGATAGGGTCTCTGTTGTGACCTTGTGTCCCGAGGGAGTAACCCAGTAGATGTCTGGTTCAGGTTCTGCCATGGCTCTGCAGTCCAAAGTGACAGTCATCCCCAGGTCCAAGTTGAGGTGGCTTGGGAATGTATCTTGCGCAATCATGGGCAGACACTGCTCTCCAGCAGGATCTTGAGCCAGGGCTTCCTTCACAGGTTGGCCTCGATACTCTGGGGGCAGTGCGCAAAACATGGACAGCGGCTCCATAAAGCGAATGGTGGTTTGGTTGGAACCCATCCAGTGGAGGACACAGTCACAGCGCAGAGGATTGCTGTGGATGCTGATTTCACGAAGATTCGGGAGGGACTCTACCGTCCCCTTGTAGACAGAGTTCAGCGCATTATTGTTTAGCATCAAGCTCTCAAGGGTAGGCACGTTACGAAAGGCCGAACGGTGGATGTAGGACAGTTTTGGATTGTTTGTTGCTTCAAGCTTTGTTAGCTCGGGGAGATTGTCTAGAGCGTAACGGTCAAGAGAAACCAGTTCAGCCATATTGTTGATTCCCAGCTCCTTTAAACGTAACATGTTTTTGAAGTCTCCTTCTTGCACCTTTCGGATCGGATTTTTATTAAGATCTAAAAACTTTAGGTTGGGCAACTTCTGCAAAGCCCCCTGGGGCACCTTGCTTAGTTTATTGTCATAGAAAGATAAGCTCTCCAGGTTATCCAGTCCCAGAAAAGCATTCCCTGGGATGTCGCTTAGGTACATCCCCGCTAAGACCAAACTTCGTAAGCTGCTGAGAGGTTTGAAGTTTAAATCCAAAATCCCAATCACGGGATTCTCCCCAATCATAAGGATCTCCAAGTTGGGGGTAGATTCAAACCAACGACTGTCAATGATCCGTAGCTTGTTGGAATTTAGGTGCAGACGGAGCAGATTGCGCAAACCTGAGAAGGCACTCGGTGAGATGGAGCTCAGCTGGTTGTGGTTGATGTAGAGCTCCTCCAGGTTGGTCAGATCTTGCAAACAGTAGTCAGTCATCTCAAAAATTTGATTCTCCTCCAAGTGCAGAGTTGTGAGCTGACTAAGGTTGGACAATCCCACATCCTGGATAGAGGTGATGTTATTCTGAGAAAGATCAAGTTCTGTCAGGTTAACCAGCTGTTGCAGTTCTCCATTAGTCCGATCGATGTTGTTGCTTTGTAGAAGAAGCACCTGGGTATCTACAGAAAGGTTCACTGGAATCCTAGTCAATCGCAGGTCGTTGCAGTCCACGGTTTTAGCCTCGCGGTAGGTGGACTGTGGTGTGAACCATGGGCGGTTACCGCAGACGCAGAGTTGTGGGCATTCGATCACCGGAGATGAAGATTCTGCTAACGGGCTGATCAGGAGTCCAAGAACAATCTGACAGACAGCCAGTGCCAGAACACCTCTCTGATCCATGTTTGCCTCCACGCCAAGATGCCAGCTGCAGTACCCAGGGCAAGTGGTTTTAAGATGGCTTTTCCTGTTAGATTCCTGCCCAAGACTGAAGAGAACCTGGAAAAGAGAACGAGTTATAAAATTACTTTCTGATTAAAAAAACATATAGAAGCAAACATTCACAAGCACACGTGTAGAAGTACCCATAGCTGGAAAAAAAGAAACATATGTGACACGTATGTTACTGCAGTAAGAGAGAGAGAGCGGATGGGGAGAGGGGAAGAGAGAGAGCGGATGGGGGGCGGGGAAGAGAGAGAGCGGATGGGGGGCGGGGAAGAGAGAGAGCGGATGGGGGGCGGGGAAGAGAGAGAGCGGATGGGGGGCGGGGAAGAGAGAGAGCGGATGGGGGGCGGGGAAGAGAGAGAGCGGATGGGGGGCGGGGAAGAGAGAGAGCGGATGGGGGGCGGGGAAGAGAGAGAGCGGATGGGGGGCGGGGAAGAGAGAGAGCGGATGGGGGGCGGGGAAGAGAGAGAGCGGATGGGGGGCGGGGAAGAGAGAGAGCGGATGGGGGGCGGGGAAGAGAGAGAGCGGATGGGGGGCGGGGAAGAGAGAGAGCGGATGGGGGGCGGGGAAGAGAGAGAGCGGATGGGGGGCGGGGAAGAGAGAGAGCGGATGGGGGGCGGGGAAGAGAGAGAGCGGATGGGGGGCGGGGAAGAGAGAGAGCGGATGGGGGGCGGGGAAGAGAGAGAGCGGATGGGGGGCGGGGAAGAGAGAGAGCGGATGGGGGGCGGGGAAGAGAGAGAGCGGATGGGGGGCGGGGAAGAGAGAGAGCGGATGGGGGGCGGGGAAGAGAGAGAGCGGATGGGGGGCGGGGAAGAGAGAGAGCGGATGGGGGGCGGGGAAGAGAGAGAGCGGATGGGGGGCGGGGAAGAGAGAGAGCGGATGGGGGGCGGGGAAGAGAGAGAGCGGATGGGGGGCGGGGAAGAGAGAGAGCGGATGGGGGGCGGGGAAGAGAGAGAGCGGATGGGGGGCGGGGAAGAGAGAGAGCGGATGGGGGGCGGGGAAGAGAGAGAGCGGATGGGGGGCGGGGAAGAGAGAGAGCGGATGGGGGGCGGGGAAGAGAGAGAGCGGATGGGGGGCGGGGAAGAGAGAGAGCGGATGGGGGGCGGGGAAGAGAGAGAGCGGATGGGGGGCGGGGAAGAGAGAGAGCGGATGGGGGGCGGGGAAGAGAGAGAGCGGATGGGGGGCGGGGAAGAGAGAGAGCGGATGGGGGGCGGGGAAGAGAGAGAGCGGATGGGGGGCGGGGAAGAGAGAGAGCGGATGGGGGGCGGGGAAGAGAGAGAGCGGATGGGGGGCGGGGAAGAGAGAGAGCGGATGGGGGGCGGGGAAGAGAGAGAGCGGATGGGGGGCGGGGAAGAGAGAGAGCGGATGGGGGGCGGGGAAGAGAGAGAGCGGATGGGGGGCGGGGAAGAGAGAGAGCGGATGGGGGGCGGGGAAGAGAGAGAGCGGATGGGGGGCGGGGAAGAGAGAGAGCGGATGGGGGGCGGGGAAGAGAGAGAGCGGATGGGGGGCGGGGAAGAGAGAGAGCGGATGGGGGGCGGGGAAGAGAGAGAGCGGATGGGGGGCGGGGAAGAGAGAGAGCGGATGGGGGGCGGGGAAGAGAGAGAGCGGATGGGGGGCGGGGAAGAGAGAGAGCGGATGGGGGGCGGGGAAGAGAGAGAGCGGATGGGGGGCGGGGAAGAGAGAGAGCGGATGGGGGGCGGGGAAGAGAGAGAGCGGATGGGGGGAGGGGAAGAGAGAGCGGATGGGGAGAGGGGAAGAGAGAGAGAGAGAGAGCGGAAGGGGAGAGGGGAAGAGAGAGAGCGGATGGGGAGAGGGGAAGAGAGAGAGCGGATGGGGAGAGGGAGAGAGAGAGCGGATGGGGAGAGGGGGAAGAGAGAGAGAGCAGATGGGGAGAGGGGAAAAGAGAGAGGGGGGGAAGAGAGAGAGAGAGCGAATGGGGAGAGGGGGAGAGAGAGAAAGGTTGGGAGAGGGAAAGAGTGTTCTCTGTACAGCTCTGCGGTATATGTCAGAACTATATAAATGTATAATAATAGGTGTGACTGTGGGGGAGGGGACATTAGAGTGTAATCTCTTCTTGTACAGAGAATGATGTGCCTGGCTCAGTGTTCTCTGTACAGCACTGCGGTATATGTCAGCACTATCTTAACTAAATCTGCAAATTGAAGAGTATTCAAAACGAAAATACTTTTGTAATCACGTTTGCGCATACTATGTGGGATTTTGGTGATTGGGTTTCACATCTTTTTTGACATTCAGAAAGTCGAAAGACTGCTACAAAATTAGACTTTGTGCAGCCCGCTGTTACAGAATTGTGACTTCCCTGTGAAAGAGATTACATTGATCCTTCCCGATCCCGAGCCGTCATTAGGACACACAAACAAGTGACAAATGACGGACTCACACTAATTCTAATCCAGTGCATCAGGCAGGACATTCACTCGGCCTATTGATACACAAATATCCTGACAGCTGGAAGGGCAGCCTCCTGCCGAGGGCCCCGAGTAACAGATCGTTCTATGAACTCCCGTTCCCTAGGGGGGCCACAGCTTGTGCACTGCTCACCCCCAGCCGCCAAATCCCGAGAATAAACTGGTCAGCTTTGTAAACTTTACAAAACTGCAAAAGTATCAGGAGACCCGCTCGAGGTTTGATCAATGCGGCCTCCATTTCCATGCATTATGCCGCAGGACACAACAGGAAACGTACGGATCATAAAAGATACAAATTTACAATTGCATTAAAAGATACGTTTTATATCAGCTGCAGTCTCTGTACGGTGTGTTGGGAGAAGATGCAGCAAGCTAAATGCTACAAGCATGCCCGGGCTCCATAGAAGGGAAATGTTTGAATGCATTGTAAGCCCTCGTTCACACCTGAACGTTTTGTGGCGCGTTCTACGCTCGTCGAACGCTCTACAAAACGCTCAAAAATATAAATCCCATTGTATTCAATGGTCTCGCTCCCACCTTGCCGTATTTCTGCCCGTCCCTAACGCGCTACAAAACGGCCCACGCCTGAAAAGGTCCCGGGACTACTTTGGGCCGTTTTGTTGCGCGTTTCCATTGGGATACAGCCAAGTAGCCTTCGGAAACGCGCGACAGACGCTCATATGCAATACGCCTAGGTGTGAACGAGACCTAAGGCCTCATTCACACAGCTGCGCATATACGCGCGTACGTGCGTATTGTACCATATGCAAATAAATGGCTCCATAAACACAGCCGCCTATGGAGCCGTATATTTGCGTAGCGTATATATGCCCAAAAACAGAATGGAACAGAGATGCGTCCGGGCCGCGTATTTCTGCGTGTATACATGCGTACAGCACATTAAAAATTCCATTACGAGTGATGCATTCTGGGATTGCATATAGTGCATGCATATACGCTCGTATATACGCGCATAGACGCTCGCATATGCGTGCATAGACGCAATATACAATTTTGCTTGCGTTGTGTGTGAATGAGGCCTAAAGCTTTTCTTACAAGTCGATA